TAAAGCCTATTAAAAATTTCTTTAAGTTCAGTAATCTTAAATTCATTTCTTTATAAACAGATTTATTTCATCACAGAGAGCATTTTCTTAACTGTCAAGTATGAAGTAATTTCATTTGTTTTCCCCCAAGTGGAAGGACTAGAGCTATGAAAAAACTCAAGTTGCATATTAGATGGTCAACTTAGCAAAAAGACTTTTTAAAAAAGTGACTAACATATTGAATTTAGAAACACTGTACATTACTAACATATTGAAGCAAGAAAATACAAGCAGTTACCTCAATTCCTCACTTTTTCTTGTTACCTACATAATTCCAAGTCAGTTCAGAGCAACTTCACTACATTCAAAACACATTCGCTATCTGTTCAGTTCTCTTCATTCTGACAAAACTGTCCCCATCTTCCTTGATAGTAGTATCTTACTCGTACATGGTAGCAGCCCCCTTAACTGGTCTCTCAGCTTTACCTTTTTTTTTTCCACGACATGAATTTTTATTAGTTAACCTTGGACTTGGCAAACAAATTTTTGAACACATTACAATTTTAAAAAATTTTTAAACAGGGAATTGTCATAAATGAGGAAAAAAGATGGAAATGTCAAAAAAACTGTGTAACCCCATTTCTATTATTTTTTGAAGTGAACAACTAATATTATATTCATTAATCTCTGAATACATAAATCTTGTTAACAGACTGAAAGAGTTTTTTATTTTTTATTATTTTTTAAACTTGAGATCCTATTATATAGAAGTTTGGAAACAAATAAGAATTGCTCTTATAGTGTGCAAATCAATTTCAAACTTAGTGATTTTGCCTTCTGGGATCTCAGTATCTTGGCTTCACTCTTGACTATACACACTCCATTTTCCACCGGAATAAAATGATACAAATCATAGCACATGATTTCCTTGTTTGAAACTCCCTAATGGTTTCTAATGACACTTATAATAAAATTCAGATTTCCTCCCAACTTCTACCTTGGCTATTTCCTCTGTATTTTCTGCCCCTACATCTTCCTGAGGTGGCCCCTTCCTATGATTCCACACTCAGCTCACCTCCTCAGAGAAGTATTACCTAATCAAACTAAATCAGTAGTCCCTAACTTTGAGATAGAGTCTGGGCAGCTATAATTTTTTTCTTCAGCTCCTCAGTTGGGACTGATATATAGGGATACTAAGAATTTCTGCACTAAATGAGTTTTGCTTTTGCTTATGATATTTTTATGCTGATTTTTTTTAATATTTATTTTTCAGTTTTCGGTGGGCACAACATCTCTGTTTGTATGTGGTGCTAAGGATCGAACCCGGGCTGCACGCATGCCAGGCGAGTGCGCTACCACTTGAGCCACATCCCCAGCCCCATATGCTGATTTATTTCTTGCTACTTCTCACTGCCTGTGGGTTGGAAAAGTGGAAAACTGACAGGTCTGAAGTGGTGAGAAAGAAATGGCAATCACCAGAAACCTGTACTAAATCACTGCCAAAAGTCACACCTATCTGTTAAATGCAAGTTAATGTGTATAAACGCTAGAGAATTTGTCGTTGTTGTTGTTGTTCTTATTTCATGATTCTCAGCCCGGATCAGAAAGCTGAAATTGTCAGAAAAATAATATGCTTTATCACCTCATGTTACCAAACCAGGACCATTTTGCCCACTGCACAGTATGTTAATCACTGACTTGACAAGTTTTGCAAAAGAGAGTTTATTCACATGATGGCCAACAGATATGAAGAGAGGGGAAACCTAAGGGTCAACCCTACAGCCTCAAGGATAGAACTGAGTACTATTTATAGGAATAAGCAAGGTGATTTAAGGAATGGAGAAAGGTGATTGGTGGTAAAGCAATCTGTGGTCTGTACACGTGTATCAATCTTCCTAGCCCTTCACAGGATGCATGTTCAGAAATGACAGTTAGCAAGATCTAAGGGTAGAGATTTTGACCCTCTAACATCAAAAGGCCACCAATCAGACACCTGCAAAGACCCAAGGGAAGAGAGTGGTTTCAACAAAAGCATTCTTGAAGCGCCTGGAAAGTAACTTCATGTGTCCCACAGGTCAGAGGTATTATCTATAGCAGAGCTAATGGGAGACTATTAATTATATATTGCTCAGCTGCGTGATCCCCCAAATCAGTGATTTTTAAAATCAATTAAGGGCTGGGGATGTGGCTCATGCGGTAGCGTGTTCGCCTCGCATGCGTGCGGCCCAGGTTCGATCCTCAGCACCACATACAAACAGAGATGTTGTGTCCGCCGAAAACTAAAAAATAAATATTAAAAAAAATAAAAATAAAATCAATTAAAAGCAAGTGAAAATAGAGTTTTGATCCAAGTTTTCCATGGTTTCATTCAGAACTGTCTTAACTTTGTGAGTAAAGATTGCCATTCTCGGGGCTGGGGTTATAGTTCAGTGGTGGAACGCTTGCCTAGCATGTATGAGGCACTGGGTTCAATTCTCAGCACCACATATAAATAAACAAAAAATAAATATCCACCAACCACTAAAAAAAGTTAAAAAGAAAAAGATTGCCATTCTCTTTTCTAAGTCTTGGTAAAAATCTTCAATTTGATATAATTTCCTAACACTAATTATTAACTTTCTTCCACTATGAACTCTGTAAGATAGGGGATTTGTCTATATTGCTCATTGATAAATTCCCAACTCTTAGATGATGTCTGATATAAAATCATGAATTATGTGATTATTCATTCAACAAATAGTTACCATGTTGTTAGGCAGCATCCTAGACTTTGAGGATATAGCAATGAAAAAACAGCAAAAATCCTTGTCCTCTTGCATACTAATGGGCAGCACAGACAAGAATAACAAGTATAATAAAAATAAGTGGCAAGAAGAAAAAAATTTTAAAAACTAATCTAAGGTAACAAAAGATAGACCAGTAGTTGCCTAGGAATTAGAGTAGAAGGACTGAAAGGGGCACAGACAGACTTTTAAAGGGTGAGGGACATGTTCTGGTTCCTGACTGTGGTGGTAGTTTCACAGGTATATAGAGCAACCAAAATTAATCAAGTTGTATACTTGGAACAAATAAGGTTCATTGTATGAAAATTATATTGCCTGGCATGTAAAGCAAGAAGCAGAAGACTGAACTTTTAAAAATATAGCCAGTGAAGGCTTCATTAAAAATGTAATTTTTAAGAAAAGACATTAAGAAAGTGAATAAACTAGCATGCAGATATCTGGGAAGATCAACCCACAGGGGATAGCACTGGCCCTAAAAAGATAATGTGTCTGGCATGTTCCAGAAATCAACAAGGAGGCCAATGAGTCTAGTTAGTGTAGATTAAGGTAGAAGACTATTAATCTGATTGAGATAAGAAGCCACTGGAGTTAACATGAGAAGCCATGAATACATTATTGGACTTATGCTCTAACAGAGTCACTTTGGATACTGTGTGTTGAGAAAAGGCTGAAGAGCAGAAGCAGAGAAATCAGTTGGAAAGATGTTACTATAATCTAGGAGAGAGATGATAGTGATTTAAACAGAGTAGTAAGTGGGAGGGTGAGTAGACAAATTTTAGACACATTATAAAACATACCCAGAAATATTTGATGAAAGACTGGATCTGGATGTGAAAGGGGGAAAAAATAGAGGATATGAACTGGAAGAATGGAGGTACCACTAATTGAAATGAGGAAAAAACAAAAGAGGAGTAAGTTTGGGAGGTATATGAGCACCTGGTTTGGGGCATATTCAATTACTGATACCTTTTAAACATTTAAGTAGAGTTCTCAAGTATGTCATAAAAACATATCTGGAATTTAGTAGAGAAATTTAGTTTGGGGTTTAAATTGGGCAGTCATCAGAGTATAGATGGTATTTAAATTAAATCTATGAAACTCCAATATCATTAATTAGCAATTAGGGAAATACAATCAAAACTACACTGAAATTGCATCTCACAAAATGGCAGTCATCAAGAATACATTTGGGGGGTGCTGGGGTTGTGGATCAGCTGTAGAGCACTCACCTAGCACATGCGGAGTGCTGGGTTCAATCCTTAGCGCCACATAAAAATAAAATAAAAGTATTGTGTCCAACTACAACTAAAACAAAATTTTTTTTTTTTTTCAAAAAAGAATACATATAGGAGATAGGGCTGTGGCTCAGCAGTAGCACACTTGCCTGGCATGTATGAGGCACGGGGGGGGGGGGAGGAGGAGGAGGAGGAGAAAATAAATAATTTTCTATTATAGGATATAACAGAAGCATTTGTTTCATTGTTTATCTAAAAATAAGTCTGATTATCTAATTTATCTAATTTAGTGATCTGGTTATTCTCTTACTAATTACCAGCTTCTCCATCCCTGTCAAAATACATAAGTCAGGTCATTAAAAATCTAATTTGGCAGGCATCTGGAGCACAAACTGAATGACCTAAAGAAATATCATGCTAAGATTATCTGCTATAATGATTATTTATTTGCTGTACAGAACGCAAAGAAAGCACTCTTTTGCAAACATCCACAATCAAATTGAGAAATATTTGTGAGCTCAAGGTCAAAGAGAGCACACTTGGGTCTTTAGGAACAACACATTAATGTAATTAAAATACATTGTCTCCTACATCTTACTGACCATAAAGATAACTGGGTAAAACTGTTTTGTTCTGTGTTGTTTAATATCAAATCTTGTTCTTTATTTAGTATCTCGACTATTGCCTTGGAGAGTTTGATCAAATGTCAAGAATTTTGAAATCTAACCAAAATGTAGTAGGAGGCAACTTCTATACAATCACTTTAACCAATTCTGTTTTTCTAATCTGAGAAAACTGCAAATCCTGTGGCTGGTTCTAAACTCTGCTCATAATTATTAATATCCAAATTTTTAGATGATTCTACCTCTGAAAAGGAATTCAGGGTCTCTTCAATTATTTCTTTTATCTCTGCAAAGAAGAATGTCAAAATGCAATCTGAATGTATGGGCTAATATGTAATGGAAAATATAGTTTACAAAGATTGAATTGGAGTTGAACTCACCTGTCCACTTTTCCCAAATTCTAGCTCTATTATGGCAACAGGGGTGTGTATTTGAGATGAGTGCCTTGACTGAGACTTAGCATCAACTCTCCAGCTCAGGCCCCGAAGTCCATTGTCCCAACGGCTCTGGTTCATGAGGCTCTCTCGAATCTTTGTTTTGTGGCTCTTCCAGAATTTGGAAATGACAGCAGCCTGGTCAGATGTTATCCCACCTTGCTTTTTTGTTTGAGCAGTCAAAAATGCCTCCAGCTGGTTGAAATCCATGTCTGCAGATGCAATCGACTATAAAGATATCAGAAAAAGCAATAAATTTGAATTTGGTAGATAACTAGAAAAAGAGCTTCTTAACTAGAGCATATTTTGAATGATTCTTAAGTACTGACTATTTCTTTCAAATAGGATCATCAAACAATAGTAATGAGAATGAATAGTGAGTATAAATACAAAAACACTCCCGTTGCAAATATCAAAATATCAGAAAAGCTACTATTCAAAATTCTATCATTCCAATTCTATATTAATAACTTGAATCTAACTTAAATACCCAGTTTCAGAGTGAGGAAATACAATGAAAATTATTTTAAATAATAAAACAAAAATAAAATTAATCTGTTCTCTGATGTAATCTTATAGTGCCTTACGGATAGGCCTGATTTGAAAAAGTACAACTGTACAATGTATTCTTTTTTTATATGTATATAATGTATTCTCCATAAGAAGTATTAAGTAAACGTTGTTAAGTGAAGCATTATTTTAGCTTTGCAGTCTATCTTCAGTGAAACAGCTCATTTGCAATACTACTCTGCAATTATATATGATCTTAATACTTCTCCTTATATTTTCAAAAGTTAATTGCCATTAAAGTTGGGTTCTCGATTCAAGCATCCAAGAAAACACAGTAAATAAATATAAGTTCAAGTTTAAAATAAAAAAGCCCTAAATTTGCACAGCAGTCTTTACTCTTTCAAAGCATTTTCACTTTTATTATTACAATTGAGTTCACCATCCATTTTCAAAGACAATGAGGTAGACAGAAGTAGGATTAGTTCCCTTTACTCTCAATTTATAGAAATGGAAATGGAAGCATAGAGGAACCAAGTGATTTTCCCAAAAGTTCAGTAAGTGCAGAGTCAAAGTCTCCTAAATGCAAAGCCATGTTTCCCTCTAATTAGTTTTCATAAGTGACTACACAGAGAAGTAGATTCTGTATTACTTTCATTGAAAAATATCTAAACTGGCACTTTCTGCCAACAATAATTCAGAGACACCAGCACCTAAGGAGTAGATACAATGCTTTATTAATGGCCTTCAGAGACTATGAGACATTAAACAACATGCAGATTATAACCACCATCTTTTTATTTAAGGCTTGGCTATTTCAGTGAAGCGAAAAATACATAAATGTTAGTTTAATAATGAATAGCAAAACTGAGGGATAAAATCAAGAAGATAGTTTGGAGTCAGAATATAAGGTACCAAAAGCCAGAGGATTGTTATATATAGGCAATAAGGAGCCACTGAAGCTAGGTAACTGGGTAATCACAATTCAAAGCTCGATCTGAGCATTAGGAAGGTAAGTCTGAGAACAGTAAGCAACTAAAGTGGGAAATCATCAAAGTGTTGAAACAATGGAGCTTGGGAGAGGAGAGTGATAGTTAATGATTTAATACCAGAGCAAACTTTCCCTTGCCTCTTCTTTGATAGGTTCCTACTCTCTCCTCGTTATGAGGGCTGATATGAATTCCAAATCAGAATATCCTCCTCTTTCTGGACACACTGATTGGTCCAAATCAATTTCCCAATTTAGAATAGGACAAATGGTCTTGTCTTTTGGGATAATGGTACCAGAAGGATGAGAGGCTGGGGTTGTCATTTTCTTTGACCTCTGGGTGAAAGCCAAAGTACGATTAAAAAAAAAAAAAAGAAAAAAACCATACACACACACACACACACACATATCTATATATACACATATATACACACACATATATATATATATGAAGCCAAGCAGAGATAAGAGTAGATCCTAATGTGCCAATATCTGTATTCTATAATTCCCAAGGCCCTGGTTCCTGCAGGCATTCTTTCAATTTTGTACACTATATCACCATCTTTCCCACCTACAGGCACTAAATAAATATATATATTTCTATATACAAATATATATATATATTTCTATATACAAATATATATATATAATTCAAGATAGTTTAAGTTGTAGTTCTATCATTTATAACCAAGAGTCTGACTAAAATAGGGTAGTAGCAGTAAGAACAGAGGAATGTAAAGGTACAGGTAGTATATGGATGGGTAAAGTATGGCATGGCTATGGCTGAAAAATAAAAATACTGCCTTTCATTTCTCCATTAATATAAAAAACGTTATTTATTACAACTTTCTGGTAGATTAAAAATATTTCATGTTGCAACTCAAAAAAATGTTAATATCTCAGGGCTGGGGTTGTGGCTCAGTGGTAGGATGCTCACCTAGCATGCACGAGGCACTGGGTTCGATCCTCAGCACCATGTAAATGTAAAATAAAGATATCGTGTCCACCTAAAACTTAAGAATAAGTATTTTTTTAAAAATATTAATATCTGCCTATTTATCAGATATTAGGCCTAAAAACCTCTGGCTATGCCAACTCAATAGAAATATTAATTTACATAACATACTATAATTAAATTAAACTATTTCCATTGGCAACTCATATCAGAATTCAGGTGGTTTGGATCATTCTTTTCCCCAAATTATATCAAGAAATATCTATTCTGATATAATTTTACCTGTGATGGAATTTATTTTGTTTGCTGAGGCAGGCTGAGGCAGCAGGATATCGAGTTCAAAGCCAGCCTCAGCAAAAGTTAGGTGCTAAACAACTCAATGAGAACCTCTCTCTAAATAAAATACAAATTAGGGCTTGGGATATGGCTCAGTGGATGAGTGCCCCTGAGTTCATTCACCAGCACCAAAAAAAATTTTTTTTTGAACAACTACCATGATAAAGATCTGCTCAAAGCATGCCACCTCTATCTACTGATAGCCAAAGTTGATGGCCTGCTACTCATCTTTTGATTCTCTCCTCCATCAACACAACACCAGTACTGGGGATGGAACCCAAGGACACTCTACTATTGAGCTATATTCCAAGCCCTTTAATTTTTTAATTTATTCAAAAATAAGCAGCACATGGTATGAATTGCCAAGATCATTGTAATGTCATGTGTAGCTAATATAAATAAATAAATAAATAAATAAATAAATAAATAAATAAAACAAGCAGCACAACCTGTGGGCTATGGTTTGCCAACTCCTGCTCAATAACATCATAAAACAAACTGACCCATGTCTTACATGACTGCAATGCCCCACCTGACATTATGTGGAAAAACCTGCTTATAATTATTAGAGCCTAGATATTCACTATTTTTTACAAAAAAGTAGTTTCCACAGTTTATTTAAGAAACATCCAACTTTTCAGTAATGCATCTAATATAACTTACACTTTGGTTTGGGCATAACTTCACAAACAGGATGTTAAGCATTTTAGAAAAATCACATTATTGGGGGCAATGCTGTTTAAAATATCTGAGCTACCAATATAATACATTTGTGCATATCTGCATTTGTTGCTATGCATTCATAGTGACTCTACATATAGGTACAGCATCTAATTAATTCATTGTATGTTCTAATACTCAAAACATTTACATTTTAAAATAAACCTTTCAAATTACTTTAGTTTCACTGTATTTTTTATTTACATTACATTTGTATTATATTGATTTATTAGAAATTATGCATGTTAATTTTATTATATATGAGTTATTATTATATAAGAATTCCACTGAAGGATAATAAAGGGATATTTGAAAATGTTTACTATAAGAAGGTGACATTGGCTTGGACAGGTTTGAGAACCACTGAAGACTGAATGTAAACTCAATAAAACAGACCCTGGCTTATTTTTTTAGTATTTATTTGACAAATTCCTGCCTCCCACACTTAACGCTCAAATAATAACCTGTTTGCAATCCTAATATACTGTTTCTTTATGTGTGTTTCTGTTTGTGCTATTCTAACAGCCTAAAATATCCTTCTGTTACCATCTCCATCTTATTAAATTCTATTTATCATTCAAGTCTCAATCCAAGCATAACTTCCCTAGTAGTCCTCCTTCCCTAGTAAGGTAAATGCCACTTTCAATTCAAAGATGCCTTAATATGTCTATCATTCTATTTACCTCAATAGAATCAAATTATGTGTTTACAAGTCCATTTCTTCCACAGATTCTAATCTTTGAGGGCAGGGTCTACATCTCTCTGAAAATACAGCATCTAATGCCCTGAGTAGAATTCAGGTCCTAACAGGTACTCACAACCATATCAACTACTTTTCAAATCCTAAAAGTTGCATATAAATATTAAGTCCAAAAGCATATGAAGTTTCCAACTTTTTGCTTCACAAAAATCCTTCCATATCTATTCATAAATCATAAACTCCTTTGACATAAATGTAGAAAATAATCCAGGTTGTTGATTCTTGTTTACCTAACATAGCCCTTGAAAATTAACAAGGACACAGAGCCAAAAGAAAGTTAGGATAGGAAATTAGAGGAAAGGAAGAACTTGAATAAAATATGAAAATGTTATTCATCAAAATTAAACAAAGTTGTTACTCCAAGAAAATAATCAGTGATCCCACATGGTACAGCTGATGTAAAAAGCTTAGAGAAACTGCTGGTCTCTTAAGTCAACACAGATCAACAATATGCTAAAGATGTACTTGACTGGTGATCCAGTAATAATTTGGGTGACAGAGGCGCTGGGGATTGAACCCAGGGCCTCCCACATGTTAAGCCTGAGCTCTACCACTGAGCTACACCCTTAACCATGCATGCCTTCAGGCCTACATCTTGCTATGAAGTGTAAGTGCGTTAAGAGGATAAGGATCAGCAGTGCATGGTGGTGCATGCCTGTACTCCCAACTTTTCAGGAAGCTGAAGAGGAGTATCTCACAGTTGATGCCAGCCTGGGCAACTGAGTGAGATCCTGTCTCAAAATAGAATAAAAAGGGCTAGGGATGTAGTTCAGTAGTAGAGTGCTTGCCTAGCATAAGCAAAGTCCTGGGTTCAATCCCTAAACACACATACACATACACACACACACACACACACACACACACACGGCAATGATTTTGCCTCAATTATTTAATAGTTATTTAATAACTGTGGCCTCACACATTGACTAATACATAGTAGGTGCTCCATAAAAACATGGTGA